AATTCCGTAGCTGCAGAAATCATCTGGTAAAGATCTGGGGGAAAACCCTGATCATAGCCTTCTATAGGTCTGAGGCCTGCAGCAGTAGGAGTAAAGGTGGCGGAGGGCCCAGCGCGTGGCATCAAGTAAGCTGAGGAAGCCTGGGCCTCAGTAACAACTGGGGGAAGTTGGATCCCCAACCCCCCCACCCCAGCCTTCGAAATAACGGGCAATGGGCGATCAGGAGACCAGGCCTGGTGTCCTGCTGGTTGTGGAATAGGAGCTGGTGAAATACACTGAGAAACTAGCGTGGAAGAAGAAACTCTACCTTCCCCAGAAGCCTTAGAAACGTTCTTTGATTTATCTTTCTTTTTATGGCCTTTATCCGGAGCCCCGGATGCCTCCCTGGGCCTCTGGCTAGTGGTTCTAGATGCAGCCCTGCCAGGCCTCGAACTAACCCCCGCTTGGGCAGAATACTGGGCCTCAGTAGAGGACTCTACAGTACCCCCTGAGGTGGATTGATCGGCCATTGTAACTTTAAGAAGTGAAAAGACTCAAATAATATAAAAACGCCCCGGTTTACTGTGCAAGAACTGCAGCCTCGTGGTCAACAAAGGCAGTGGCAGTGCGATCCTCTCACCAGGGCGAACAAGCTCGAAGTGAGGGAAATGGGAGGGGCGATGACTCAGCAGCCTTCCCGGTGCGAAGAGACCAACGCCCCATCTCAAAGGCCTAGGGCGCATGCATCGGAAACAGCCCCAAAATGGCGGCTGCAATTCAAGCGCCAATATTCAAACCGGCCGTTAGTTAGCAAGCCGTTCCGAAACTCCCCCGCAGGAAGAGATGCCGGCGGCAGCGCCGGAGCGGTCCTGTCGCTCCCAGCAGCGACGCAGACAGACAGACCGTGCCGTGGACGGCGGGCGAACGTGGCTGGTCCTCCTGGATTAACCGCGCCGCGAACGGCGGGAATTCCCGGTCCTCCGATGCGGCTGGAAAGGCTTCAGGTGCAGTAACAAGCCATCGGCTAAAAGCCTCATCGCGAAGCCCAAACGGCAAGCCCAGAAGGCAGAACGGGCGCTAAGCCCAGCACCAAGCCTCCCATCCAATGATCCAAGCTAGTTCCAAGCCCAAAGGCAGCGGCTGCAAGATCCAGCAATGCCTGCCACGAATCAAAACGGGTAGGAAAACCAGCAGACAGCGAACTGTCGCCTCTCCTTACATGCCAAATAATAAACAGTCACACACATCCCCATGAAAATCCAAACAAAGGCAAACTTTATCTCAGAAGACTGGAGAGAAAATTGGTATACGTCTCGTCTGGCTGGACTGAGTTAAAAAACTGACCCTACCAGTCAGAGGAGGCGTGGTCACCAATTTGCATAACTCAATCTCTAGGCTAATGGACAAAGTAAACCCATGCTTGGATTCCCCAAGCAGCACACAGGAGAATTAACCTGTATAATCTATCTTCCAACTGTAGGAAATTTTGTTCCACTTACATAATTATTAAGAAAATATCTATGATATTAAGTTTGTTTTCTGCATGTGGCTTATTAAACTATAAACATATGTGCCTGGATATTCTAATCAGTGATGTCATGCCTTATCATGTTTTGAGAACATACTATACCTAATTGTGACTTATTCAATATATCATGATTAAACAAGACATGCCCTAGCAAGATATGCAAACACACACTCTGTATGATTGTGCACTTACTGATATTTTTTGGAAATTACTTATTACTTTGGCCCATTATTCCTCAGTAAAAATGAAATATTTTTCTGGGCTGTTCCTCTATTTTATTTGAGCTGCAGATTTGAAAATCCTATCCTTGCAAGTCCTATACTTTTCAACACCATTCATACAACTTCTTTTAACTTAACCTGTTTAAGTATTTATCCTCTATATAAATTATTTGTTGTCTTATGACTTACCTCTGCCTCAATTTCATCATAGAGAAATTGTTTCTTGAATTTGGTGAGTGCATAATGAGCACTGTCATTATACAGGTCCAAAGAATATAGAACATATCTAAACAAGAGATGAAAACACAGAGTCAGTGATGTGTAAAATATTCCTACGGCTTGTCTTAATATACCAAGCTGCTGTTCAAGGCAAAACTGCTAAAACTTTAATAAGAAAAGTACAGCATTTACCTGCCCAATACTTTGTGTGCAACTTTGTATTCAAATAATTTTAAATATTCTTATCTCATTTCGACTAAAATTTAGTGATTACAAGTCAATTACAAAACAAGAAGAGAAAGAACTTTATTAGCCTTACTCCATCATTGATGCTTCCTTGGTCTCCAATATGTGGTCAGTTAGAATCCAAGGCATAGACATCTCAATGGGGAACTGAATTCGGCGACCCATGGTCAACTCCAGAAAAAATTCCCGGAACCAAAGTTGGGACAAATCACAGCACTGCTGGAGGGTTTCTTATTGAAAAGGAAATTATATCAAATTAATTTTGATTGAAACCAGGGAGAACAGCTACTTTAATAGTGCAGTGTTATAGAAGCACAACCGCGGAAGAGACACTGCAATAGCATGTGAAGAAACTGAAACTAGCATTTGGATGGAGTGCCTAAAGAGTTATTGTAAGCTGCTGCTGCTGCTGCTGCTGCTGCTGAGACAAATAGACACCAAAAATACAAATGGGTTTCTTACTGAAAACTTTGGCAGAGGAAGTATCGTCAGTTTTGTAGTACAGATGTTCTAAACCATTCTCCCAATTTGTGCTAAATATTGAGAACATCACATTTTCAGCTCTTGCAAAGGAAAATGGAAATTTCTTGCAACAGCCATCATTATTATTTATTTTACCTGATTAGATTATTTGCCTTACCGCATTTATTTTTCTGCTACAATATGCACTGATCAGATGGATACTTAATGAAAAATATTTGTGTATAGGAGTAAGTAGAAGGAATAGTTAAGAACAAGTAGATTGTTTTCAAAACACAAGATTCCTTCTGGACTGCCATAATAGAAGCGTTTTCAGTAAGTTAGAACACTGATTCCCAAAAATTTTATTAAGAGATTCTTAAGAGTATTTCCTGGTCTCTAATATAGAGTAGAATTTTAAAGTATAAGGTAACCTTAAAAAAAATGTAACAGAGCCCAAAAAGCCATGTGCATCTTTCAACTCTGACCAGCATTGTGTACATAGTGCTTTATAGAAAGCTTCTGTAGTACACACATACATTTCTTACAGCTGGCTAAGCAGAGATAATCTTGTTTCTTATAGCAATATCCAGCCCAAACAAATGATGCTAATGGCAGACTCTCTCCAAAAACTCCACAGAATCTCAATTCAGTGCTTAGGAATCAGTGTACTATCCACCAGCATTGTTTCTGAAGGACATTGAAATACAAACTCTCCCCCCATTCAAAGCGAAACTATCCAACCACATTGTGGATTGAACAGACAATGCAGTATGATACACCCTAACACATGTCAATAGGTAAATCCACTTGAACAACATGCTTCTGATTAAAGCCAATAATATTGAAAATGGTAGCCAAACAAGGCAAGATACTTAACCTCTCCTTAGAAAAAAAAGGGATGAGAAACAAACTAGGCAAACATTTTTGCTATTTTCACAGGATCAACATAGGGGCTCTTATTTGGCAACTATTTATGAACAACAAAACCATTCCAACTAGAAAAATCTATCAAGTAAATCTGTTTAAGCCTAGGGTTGTATGTAATACAGGTAGTCATTGATTTACAACAGTTTGTTTAGTGATCATTCAAAGTTACAATAGCACTGAAAAATGTGACTTATGATGTTTTTCCCAGTTATGACCTTTGCAGCATCCCATTATCATCTGATCAAAATCCAAATGTTTGGCAACTGGTTCATATTTATGACCGTTGCTATGCCCCAAGGTCGTGTGATCACCTTTTTGTGACCTCATGACAAGCTGTCAATGGGGAGCCAGATTCACTTTAACAACTGGGTTGTTAACTTATCAAGTGTAGTGATTCACTTAACAACTGTGGCAAGAAAGGTCATAAAATGGAGCAAAGTTCACTTAACAAACGTCTCATTTAGCAACAGAAATTTGCAGCTCAATTGTGGTCGTAAGTCGTGGAGTACCTGTATTCTCAAATGTGAAAGACTTAACAAAAGTCTTTTTGGATCAGACAGAGGGACCACATAGTATTAGGTTATGTTTGCCACCTTAAGTTATTTCTAAAAATAATAAAGGCAGGATTTAAAATAAATAAATAAATAAATAAATAAATAAATAAA